ACGGGTTCCCAGGACACACGTAGGTGCCCTAGAAGTTTCCCACGAAAATCTCCTTTAGGTCCGCCCAATTTTGAATCCGGTTGGGCGGAAGGTGCTCCAACCATGTTCGCGCCGAATCGGGCAGGAATAATGAGAGGTTGCGGATAATGAAACTGTCATTATCCTTTCCACCGGCTTGGCAACCAAGCCGGTAACCTCGAGCCACAGTCCGGGGTTCGTCTCCCAGAGTTTTTTGGGATGTTGGTCGGCGGTCGGTACCACGGTGGGAAGGCGACGTTGATAATGTGTCGGCTAAAGGCCTGAGGCCCTGGCAGGTCGGGGCCCGGGCTTTGGTCCTCGCCGCTGGCGTAGCATCCGTCGTGACGAGGGTGGTAGTCGTGGTTGGCTTCCTCTCTCTCTCTCACCACTTCATCCATGCCTAGGGCATCCAGGGTGTTACATGCGTCACGGTGGAGGTCGAGACGCTCATGCACCGGGGCCGTGGCATGCCCCCACCGGCGCACGGTGCCTGGTGCACAGACATGTCCCTGTCATGTCATCCTGAGGGCGCGTGCTATCTAGCGTCGAGCTCGTGTCACCAAGACAACAAGCTCTCCGCCTGCTGCACCGCTGCGCGCTCGAGCAGCATGTGGATCTCGCAATTGGCCTGATGATCCTTGGGTGTCGTGGGCTCCGGGAGCCCTCGGAGCAAGGCCACCACGAAAGCAATATTCTGGCTTGCCCGGGCAAAGTGTGGGAGGGCTCCATCATCTTCGATGATCCTCCGGTTCACATCGTAGGCCATGGCGCGTGCATGCCCACCGTCTCCACGGTGCTCGATCTCTTGCTCGAGCTCCACGCGCTCCTGCTCCTGCTGGCGCGCATCCTCGAGTTCCCTATGCCGTGCCCTCAGCTGCTCCACCCACAGGCGAGGCGGGGGCCCTGCATCTCTCTCGACCTTGTTGTCAAGGTCATTTGGTGGGGTAGCCCCTCCCTTGTGGACGCTTTTGATGTGTCCCTGGGGGTACCTGCCATAAAATATTCTCGTGAGGGGTGATGGCTCCCCCTGCTGGAGTCAGAGTCGGAGGGTGACTCTGAATCTCCCGAGAGAAGGTCATGGAAAGATTCCGTGACGTATTCGGTCCTCCCCACGAACTCATCGTTCGTAGGAGATGGGTGCATACACCGCGCCATGAGGTGGCCAACGGTCTCTACGATGTTGCGCAGATCGAACGGGAACGCTGTCGGGGCGCTTCGGATGAGGTATTCCGGGGAGAGCGGTTCCCCTGGCAAGCTACATCATGACATTGGAGAACGAGAAGGTGAGGCAGCGCAGGTCCTCCCAGGATGGTCAGGGTCCCAGGAAGGCATCGAGCTGGCGCTTTAGCCTCCCATAATCGAAGCCGAAGAGCTGGTCGCTCCCGGGGGCACGGGCCTTCACCGCGTGCACCTGTAGCTCCTCAAACGCCTCGATGATCGCGTCGAGGCTGGTGGAGTGGAGAGGCTAGACGACGGTGGGAGCCTGCGCCAACTCTCCCTCCGTCATGACGATGAAGTCTAGGTTCTCGAAGCGCACGTGCATGCCCAGGACCCAACTGACGCCGTGACTAGCCATCCGAGGCCGATGTGGATGTCGAGACACGCAAAAAAGCCCCTACTTGGCGTGCCAACTGTCGGTGTTCTGGGTCACCGGCTAGTAAATTTGTATTGCGTGTCTGGCCCGGATGGTGTGCTCGGAGGACACAAGGATTTATACTGGTTCGGGCAGAATGTCCCTACGTCCAATGTGTTGTTGCTCGTGTTATCGACACTAGTTTGTAGTAGGGGTTATAAACGGGCGAGAGAGGGAGCGGATCCTAGGTCTCTGGTGGAAGGGTTGAAGAGTGCAGAGAGTTTGTTCAACCATGTGTTTCCTTTTTCTTTCTTGGGGCGTCCTACTTTCCCTTTTATAGGTGAAGGGGAAGGCGCAGGTTACAGAGTGAAAGGAGAAAAGCGAGAGAGAAGAAGGCCTCCAGGGTCGTCAGGTCCTTCTTCTTTATGTGGGTCCCGCCGATGCTGTAGATGGTGATGGGGACGACTCCACGTCGGGTTCCTGTTCACCACTAGTGTCATGTCCCGGCGCATCAGCTGGTCGTGGCATCCCATCCTATCTCGGCGGATGGCGTGGTGAATCGACGTGCCTGTCAGCGGCCATACGGGGAGTAGGCAGCACAGCCACCACACACCCCATCATTGTTGGTGATGTGAACCCCCGAGCGTGGCCTGACGTGGCCATGGGTCACGTCGAGACGTGTCCGCTTCCCTCCCTGTGTCAGAAGTTTGACCCCAGGGTCGTACCCTCAGACACGTATTGGTTGGAGACGGTATGGGTCCCCGTCGGGCGAGACGGAGCCCGCGCCCCAGGGGTCGGGCGAGACGCAGACCGTGCCCTTAGGGTCGGGCGAGACGGCTCCCGTACCCTTGGGGTCGGGTGACACGGGGCCTGTGCCCGAGGGGTCGGGCGAGACAGAGCCGTGCCCTCAGGGTCGGGCGAGATGGCTCCCGTACCCTCGGGTTCGGGCGACACAGGGCCCGTGCCCTCAGGGTCGGGCGAGACAGAGACAGTCCCTTCGGGGTTGATCGAGACTGAAGTACGTCCTTGATGATCTAGGCGAGTCGTCCGCGGTCCTAAGATCCCTTCTTCGGATATCCCTAATACCGATACCCGACAAGTCTCAATCTGTGTAATTAGTTTTGTAATTAGCTTATGTTTAGTACTCCTAATTGATATCAAAAACTCTAAACGGGGCCTAACTTGAATAATGTATAGTTCCTCTCCCTAAAGTTTAGTCCCTATCACATCGGATGTTTGGACACATACATGGAATATTAGATATAGACTAAAAAATAACTAATTGCACAGATTGCGACTACTTTGTGAGACGATTTTTAAGCCTAATTATTCCATGATTTGATAATATGGTGCTACAGTAAATATGTGTTAATGACAGATTAATTAGGCTTAATAAATTTGTCTCGCAGATTCCTGAGGACTTCTATAATTTGTTTTATTATTACTATCCGAACACTCCTATGTAACACCCCATGTGATATCCATGTGACACCTCTAAATTTTAGCGAAAACGTTCACGGTCAAGGATGCCCCCACCCCAGCTCCACGCGCGGCCTCCCACATCACCTTCTCCTCCTTTTGCCATAGGACTATTTAAGCAATGGCCTCCAAATCCAATTGCACTCTCGGAGCCCTCCTTCCTTCCACAAGAAGCAGTTGTTGGTAAATAAAGCTGTTACCGTGGCCGGAGCTGGACCAGCCGGGCAGTTGTTGGTGCCGCACCGCACTGGGCGACCTGGAAACCAAACAAGATATAGTGGCCTGCCTGCGACGCATCGCATCAGAACCTGTGTTGTTGACTACCACGGCCGTTGTTGCTCCCCGCCTTAAGCGCGCTAGAAGATGAGCTACGGCCCTGAATCAACCAACACTGCCAACTGAAATACAACAAGTCTCCCCTTTGTCTCTGACAAGAAGACAAGTTTGGGATTATGCTGTTCGCTGAAAAGTCAGGATAAAAAGTACTATTCACTGATTTATTGTGAGAGAAAAACAATATACCATGACTGATAAGCCAGACTGATAAGTTCAAGCGAACATATAATCTATGACCGAAACAACTATAAAATGTCTCTCTCTCTCCGCTTATTTTGAAAAGCTGAACATTAAAGTAAAAGCAAGGTTCGAGGTACTAAGAAAATTGTACCACACGGAAGCTGTTGTTTTAGATTTTTTTTAATTCTTTAGTTATTTCTCTTTCAGTTTTTTTTTTAGCAAAAACATAACCCTTTGTCGGACATAGGAGTTCCACCGCCATGCCGTGCTTCTGCGGCGCATAAGCCACTAGGCACTAGCCAGACTTCATATATACCTTTTTGTTTTTTCTTTGCTTATCAATATCTTTTGATGCACTCGGTACCTTAAGCCTTCTTTTCCTACCCATCTGACCTGCAGACTCACAGCCTACTGACGATCATGCAAGCTATATTCATCCCCCTTTGATGAAGCGCCAACAGTGATGGAGTATTCACTGGCTAGAGACAGGAAACCGATCCGGATGAGAAACACGTTTCTTCCTTGTAGCAACCTTAGAGCCTGTTTGGCTGTTTGGGTAAGCTAGGACTAGCTACTGGTTAGAATTAGAAATTAGCTAGAGTTATCAAGCTAACCCCCTATTGGCCCTCCGGCCTGTTTGAATTAGCTTGGGCTATTCTTAAGTAACTAACAATAGCTCTTAATATTCAAATATGCTCTCAGATTGTTTGTTCCATGTAGCACTACTGGAAACTCAGATTTCCACTAACAGAAAAAACATGTATTATCCTGTAACCCGATAGCTAAATATCATTGCTGATCTCCATTGGAACATCCCGGTAACTAAATGTCATTGCTGATCTCCATTGAAACCTCCTTCGTTGCTACTACGACATCATCCCAATCCTTTTTAGAATCTTGTTGCTGACTTTTCATACCACAAATTACTTTGTGCACTAACTCTATTCTGTCACGCGGCACTCTAAGCGTTGCTTCGTGAGATGAGACAACCCTGCTGGGTCTTAGCTGCATTTCCTATCATGCAGGTTCAGCATGTGAAACAAGTGCAAGTACTACTTTCTAAGGGAACAACTAACATGAGCAATAGTAGAAAGCCAGGGTTAGCGTGTAGTCGTATTCATCGATCTTCTATGACTGGCGCCTATATGTAATGCTACATGTGCCCGGTTGCATGGAGTCGTGGTGATGAGCACTGAGTGATATATGAGCACTGAGCCTAGGAGTACATACAAATCCGGAGTGCTAGCTAGTGTGTAGCGCGCAGAGAAGCGGCTGCGGGCTGCATAAGATCGATGCGTGCCATGAGAGACGAAGAGGGGCGTGGGGTGGCGGCGATCAGGAGTACAATCCCGAGACGGACCGCGACGGGACGGAGGCCGTTGACCGGGAGTGCGACGTCGGCCCGGCCGGCGGGATGTCGCTGCACGCCGACCTACTCGGCGACCCCGTCGCGCGCATCCGCCACTCGCCGCACTACCTCATGCTGGTACGTACGTGTGTGCTCCGACCGACCTCTGATAGATCCTCGCGTAGTTGCACGGTTGGACGTTTGCTGTTTATCTGCATCGATCTCAAATTTATTTGCTGGTGCTGGGCTGCTTTTTCAAGTCTCGCTGCTGCATGAACTGCAGGTCGCTGAGACGTCCGGGCCGGGCCGCCGGATCGTCGGCCTCATCCGGCGAACCGTCAAGTCCGTCGCCTCCGCCAAGAGCCGCCCTGGCGCACCGGCCTTGGCCAAAGTCGGCTACATCCTAGGCCTCCGCGTCGCGGCCTCCCACAGGTAAAGTTGCAATGCATGCTGTCCCTAAGTATTTGTTAGGGCTCCTGACATCTACGATCGCTAGCATCGATTTTACTGATCCACCCATGCTCCTGTGTCAAATAAACTGGTGCATGCATCGCATCCAGGCGGATGGGCGTCGCGCTGCAGCTGGTGCGTCAGCTGGAGAAGTGGTTCGAGCTCATGAGCGCCGAGTACGCGTACATGGCTACCGACAGGTCCAACGAGGCGTCGCTGCGTCTCTTCACCGGCCGCTGCGGGCTTCACCGAGTTCCGTTCGCTGTCCCTGCTCGTGCACCCAGTGCACTCGCACCGGCTCAAGGCGCCGCGCCGCGCCACGGCCGTTCGCCTCGGCGCCCGCGACGCCGAGCGGCTGTACCGCAGCCGGTTCGTCGCGCACGTCGAGTTCTTCCCCGCGGACATCGGCCACGTCCTGGACAACGCGCTCTCCCGCGGCACGTTCCTGGCGATTGTCGAGTGGGGCGGTGACGTCAACCGCTTCCTGGCGTCCCCGCCGGAGTCATGGGCCGTGGCGAGCGCGTGGGACTGCGGCGGCGTGTTCCGCCTCGTGGTGAGCGGCGCGTCGCGCCTGCGCCGCGGCGCCGCCGCCGCCAGCCGCGCGCTGGACCGCGTCGCCAAGTGGCTGCGCGTGCCGTCCGTGCCCAACCTGTTCCGCCCGTTCGCCGGGAGCGGAGGACGCGACGCCGCGCTGGCCGCGGAGGCGGTGTTCGCGTCCATCGTCAGCATGGCGCGCGGCAGGGCGGCAGCCGTGGCAGTGGAGGTGGAGGCCATGGACACCGAGGACGTGTGGTGCATGAAACGGCTCGGCGGCGGCCACGCGGACGGCTGGGACTGGGCCAGGTCGGCCTCTGCAGCTCGCTCCATCTTCGTGGACCCCAGGGAGGTGTGACTCAGTGGCCGGCTGGCCGCACGCTTACGTACAGCTATATATATACGCTGTCGTCTGTCGATCATCATGTACATACATGTCGTACGGTGTGCTCTCTGACGCTCCTCGCAAAGCTAGCTAGGTTACCCGCGCGAGCTATTATGGCTCTGTTCGGCTTACCCCTCATATTCAGCTTGTTCGTCTTTTTTTTTCCAGTTGGAACAATGTTTTTCGGTGACAACAATTCAGCCGGAACAGTATTTTTAGCCAATTTCAGCCAAATTTCATACCAGCGAACGGGGCCATATATCTGATCTGCCGGAGGACAGCTAGCCGGCTGGCCCTCCTGATTACATCCGGTGATTTTTTATTGAAATATATGAACATGTGTTATTCTATATCTCTCATCTCTCACAACTAAAAAGACTAAAGAGAAGACACCGTTTTAGTGCGACAAAAACTTCGCCTCACCTTCACGCCGGTCCCGTGCGACAAATGAAACGGTCATCGGTCTGCCCTTCCCTTGCGATCCCCCCAACCCGATCTCCCTCGCCCCCTTGGGGTCGCCACAGCTCGGCGCGCCGCCGCCGCCCCCGCCCGCCCTGCGCCAACACCGCCCCCGCCTTCCCTGCCCCGCGATCCACCTAGCCGACCCCTCCTCTCCCCCACGCCCAGCACCAAGGATTAGGGTTGGAACCCTAACCGCCCCAAGCGTCACTCCTCTCCCCCACATGCAATTCCTCCTCTCCCGCCCCATCCCCAGCAGCGGTCAAGATCCATGAGGACGAGGAGGTCACGACCCTTCTCTGACCCCGCCGATGCCACCTCCGTCAAGGGGCTCGAGGCCACGGCCACATCGCGCGACCTCAGGGACGTGCTGGCCGCCGCCACCGCCGGGCGAGGCCGTGAGGGGCAGCCACCGGGCGAGGCGAGAACGCGGTGGGGCGCGCCGCCTCTAGGCTAGGCGAGGCCATGGCGGGGCGCCGTCGTCTAACGAGGCGTGAAGCCGGGCGGGGCCGCCTACTCTCCCCCACGGTATCCCGCGGATAGCCCCCGACCACCGGCGCCGGCGGGGACCGCGTCTGACGCTGCGAGGACTGCTGGATGCGGTGGTGCGTGTCCAAGAGGCGGCCATGGGCGGGCTCGAGATGTGGGGGCGCACCCTCGAGATGCGGCAGTGACGTGGGTCCAAGATGCGGCAACTGAATCCATTCCATCCCACCTCGCCGCCCTCTCCGCACTCGTATACAGGTACATCACACCTCCGTCCCAGGCTCCCAGCGTCCCTCCCCTTGCCGATACTACTACTTTTCTCATCTATTTGTCAGGAACGAGCTTGTACAATTCCCAAGATTTTTGCCTGAATGGTTTCTTGTCCGGTTAAAGTATATTTTTCTATTTGTATAGGTAAACCATCGATCCTTCTCTTTTCTTTACTAAAATCGTTATGACTTGAATAATTTTTATTTGATTGGTATGTGTTGAACTGACACACTATCAATATTCATGCATGTATCTTTGAAATCGTTTTGGTATGCCATAGTCTAACAAAAATCTTGGAGAATTACCGGGCCACCTCTGAAAAGATATTGTGGGATGAGAAACACAAGGTAATATTTGATTTCCAGACAGAATGGGAACCCCTTTTTTAGAGCTTAACTATTATTTATTCATTTTGCTAGCATCGGAGAATTAGTTGAATATATTGACTAACTATTTGATGCGCACACATGAACCATTTCAGAGCCTTAGTACAGAGATTGATCGTATAAAGAAAGAGATACTTGAACTTCAATAAATTGTCTTCGTATCAAGTTTAATTTGAAGAGTGTGTGTGGTCTCATAGTAATCTTTTAAGCTAGAATAGGTTGTCTTTTCTTTTTGGGAATTTACTTCTTCAGTTTCATGTTGATATTTATGGAGAATGTTGTCGATGCGGGACCCATAAGGTTCCCCACGGAGAAGAGAGAAGACCTAGTCCAACTAGAATTCCCTACATGTAATCCTATTAGGACTAGTTACACGTAATTCTACTAGGATCTCTACTTTGTAACCGACTAGGACTCCCGCCTCTCCTGAACTATATAAAGGAGGGCAGGGGTCCCTAGATCGGCAGCTAACACACACACATGGGCGACAGACATAACCGACAGAACTCACAACCACAACAAATAGCGCAGGGCGCAATATACTATCCACCCCACACTGGACGTAGGGCGCCGTGATTTTCCGGCGTACCGAACCAGTATAAATCGTTGTCTCCCTGCGTTTACCATCGAGTTCCTGCAAACGCCGATACCCCTCCGAACAAATCACCGTCCCGGGTACTCCCGTGGCGGGTTGCCGGTGGTAAAACATCGACAGCTGGCGCGCCAGGTAGGGGTTCTCGGCGCTTTGCGTTCGAGAGCTCGGTGGACCTCAGATCAAAATTCGCCGCGGTTCTCGTCGGCCCTTGTCAACAAGACGCTGCAATTCCCGTCAACCACGAGCAACAACTCGCTACGGATCTCTGCGCATGGCCAAGGTGTCCTGATTCAACAAGCAAGCAAGTGAAGCCGCACGTTCAAATTTGCAGAAGACTCAAGGCACAAGTCAGGAGTCAGTCAACTACTCGGCCACGACGAAGAGTCCGACATCACCACATGTTGGATCAGCTAGCATCAACTTCGGCAAGGAGTACGTCCCAGCGTTATCAACTCGGATACGGAGCTGGATCGGAGGACAACTGGGATTTATCCGAGAACATCCGAGTTCAACTCCAAGAACGCGACATCCGAAATCAACTCTGTATATCCGGAGACATCTGACTACATCAAGACATCCCACGGTGCCACAACAACAAACAAATACAAGGAAGGCGTATGTGTATATATATGTACAAGCAAGACCAGAAGCCATCCAAATTGATTACTGGACACATACAAGACTACAAGATGGATATGTGAACTAGTACACATACACAGACAAAGATCAACTTTCATCCGGCACCCGCGACAACTCCATCACACACGTCAAGCTGGATGGATGCACCGTACGCACACTGTCGGCAACGACGACGACAAAGGCTTCAGAGAACACGATGACAGGTTCCGAGTTGTTCCGAGTACTCGACATACCGGCCACTCAACTGGTTTACCCCATCAACAAACGACTCGGCCATAAACCAAGCTAAGTCACGTCTCATTTTTTATATATTCCGGATATTATTCATATACCTCTGTGGCCATATTATCTTCCCTTAACGGCTGTTAATTTTCTCGGATAGTAAGCCTTAATTCGTGAAGCTTGTTTTCTCGAATGGATGGTCACGTCAATGAACCTCTGAACCATACGGATGGTCACGTCAAAGAACCTTTGAACCATACGGGTGGTCACGTCAATGGACCTCTGAACCATACGTGAGATTCAAGTGCTTAAACGTAACAGGCTACTACCTAAGAAATTAACCGACCTAGCAAGGGAAGACACAAAAAATCATCATGCGAGCAAACATAGTGCTCTAAGTCTTCTCTTAACGGTCGCTAAAGTCCTCAGGTAGAACAGACCTTAATCCGTGAAGCTTGTCTACTCGAACGGATGGTCACGTCAATGAACCTCTGAACCATACGCGAGATTCAAGTGCTTAAACGTAACAGGACACTACCTGAGGAATTTGCATGGCCTAGCAAGAGAAAGACGCGAAAAAAGTTTATATGCATTTTATGATGCCGGGGCCCGCCCCTGATTGATTATTCAAATATGGGACATGCTCCCGACTTCATATCCGGAATGTCATTTACACCATATTTTTATGTTTAACATGCAGGAGAGCTACATCGGTACCATGAGATCAGGAAAAACACGCTCCTGAGAGCTAGCCCAGAAACAACCCGGATTGATCCAAAAAGAACCCCGAAGAGGTGCTGCAAGTAACAAGACAAATTCAGAAAGAACTCGGATTGATCAGAAAACAACCCGGATGAGGTACATACAAGTTCAGAAAGAACCCAGAACGATCAGAAAACAACCCTGAAGAGGTGCTGCAAGTAACAAGACAAATTCAGAAAGAACCTGGATTAATCAGAAAACAACCCGGATGAGGAACATATAAGTTCAGAAAGAACCCGGAACGATCAGAAAACAACCTCAAGAGGTGCTTTGCAAGTAACAAGACAAATTCAGAAAAAGAACCCGGATTAATCAGAAAACAACCCGGATGAGGTACATACAAGTTCAGAAAGAACCCAGAATGATCAGAAAACAACCCCGAAGAGGTGCTGCAAGTAACAAGACAAATTCAGAAAGAACCCGGATTGATCAGAAAACAACCCGAATGAGGTACATACAAGTTCAGAAAGAACCTGGACGAACTGCAAACAACCTGGAAGAGGTACATCAAGAACCAGAGAAGTCCAGAAACAACCTGGATGAATAAAAAACAACTCGGAAGAGCATCATGGCTTAGTCAAACACTAAGCTCGGGAGCTCGGCATTCGCTTCAACTACGCCCGGGGGCTCGAATTCAAGGATGAAAGACCAAGAATACAAGTACTCAAGACTACAACAAAGACAACACATCAAGACCCTTCATCCAATTTCTATTCTAAAGAAAAGTACTCGGAGAAGGCTCGAGGGCTGCGGGATACATAACCCCAAAATTTTTTTTGAAGACAAGAATCTGGACCCTCCAACTTTTGCAAGCAAAAGCAAGAGGCTCGGGGGCTACACTCAGTGAGTGCAATTTTTACGAAAAATTGCACCCACTCAAAAAGAACTCAGAACAACCAAGAAGACTAAAGGGACCCTCTGGCTTCTTGTCCCAACAAGCAAGAGGCTCGGGGGCTACACTCACCGAGTGCACTTTTGTTCAAAAGTGCACATCAGTCGGAGAAAAGACAAAGAAGACCATCTCAAGATTTCACTTCAAGAAAGAACCCGGAACAAGTCTACAAACAACCCGGCCCTTGAAGCTCAATCATGAAATGCTCGGGGGCTTGTCGATGCGGGACCCATAAGGTTCCCCACGGAGAAGAGAGAAGAAG